GCTATAATGTAATTATCTTAATCTTCACTATCGTTACTTTTTGCCCAGCGAAGCGGGTCCTTGCAGCTAGATTCTAGATTACTTAGAAAAACAGTCTTTTATATATATAAAAAAACTATGTTACATACAAATGTACGAACAAATAAAAACCCAGCGAAGCGGGTCCTTGCAGCTAGTATATATATATAAATGGACGTGTATGTCCCTATATTTCACTTTTTGCCAAACCTACATATTGCACATGAATGGTGTTTGTATGTGGTAGTAGCCCTGAGTCTCCATTCGTGCACTATGGTGGTTGCGTCTCGATAGCTATAAGGGTGCGGGAGATAGGGGGCTTAAAGTGATTGACTTCGAAGATTTTCTATTTTGGATTTTAAAATGTTCAAACCATTTTAAAAATTCGAATTGGTTCGAATTTATAGAATCGATTATAGAATGATTGTAAACGTTCCAGAAAATTGATCAAATTGAAAATAGTTCGTTTGACTGGACGTAAAAATTCTCTAATTAGTCTGGAAATGGGGGATCTAATTCTTGCATTCTGTGCTATAAGGGTGTGGGAGATATGGGGTTGAAAGTGGTTGACTTCGAAGATGTGTAACAATGGAAGTGTTGAGTAACAAAGGAAGTGTTAATATAAAGCAGCATGCAAGATTTACAGGCGGTTTTTTGCATTTTTGCGGGAAATCAAACATATTTTTAGATTCGTGTAAAAATTCTCTAATTAGTCTGGAAACAGCGTACCTAATTTTTGCATTCTGTGAAAACAGGTAAGATCGGCTATAATGTAATTATCTTAATCTTCACTATCATTACTTTTTGTCCAGAGAAGCAGGTCCTTGCAGCTAGATTCTAGATTACTTAGAAAAACTGTCTTTTATATATTAAAAAAACTATATTACATACAAATAAAAACCCAGCAAATCGGGTCCTTGCAGCTAGTACAATTATAAAAGTAAATCTAAGAACAGGTTTTTATTTGAAGACAATATTTCATTTTAGTATTTATACTATAACTTTTTAGTAATGCTTTAACAAGTTAAGACAATAAATTAAATTTTATTAAAGATTATTACCAGCATGATTAGGCGTGTTAGGAAGATGTCTACGATGTGACGCAAAAGGAGCTGTTATGTCCCCAAACGATGACGTTCGACGAATATCTCCATCTTCTAAAATAGTGAAATCAGCATTTTAATACCATTTATTACTTTATCAATGTTCTTAATAACAAATTTGGTTAGAAATGTTATGACAAGTTTTACCTGCTGCACTAGGGGAATGTTTCCACAAGGTTTCTTTCTCGGGCATGTTTCGAAGATCGCCCACACTTTTGCTTGTACTTAGACCCTTTCTCCAGCCAAGCTAAATAATAATAAAGCTTTATTACATAGCATATATTTTAAAATAAAAGACAATTTTTTTACTCTCTACTCTACAAGCACCAAATTGGCCCAAACAAGCCCTTCGTGGGGCTGCCAAGTGGCAACCTAGTGAGGGACAAGGCCTGCTATATCCTGGACGTACTCACCCAAAAACTTTTCGGTGTTTTTTGACCCGTCTAGATTTGTTCCTAGGTCTCCAGAACAACAGACTGACACCTTAACCATTTGGTCGTGTGGCTGACGAAAGACGGCAATTAACAAAATAAACAAAAATAATAAATCTGTATATGACCATATAAATAAATATTAGTAGATAAATAGAATAATATAGATGGATGGATGGCAAAAGTGGCAAAGATGTCAGTCAGTCATTCTGGAGACTCCAATCAGAATCTCAGAAATTTCCAGAGGTCAGTGTGATCCAAATTTGTTGGACCTGTCACTCACCATGGGCAAACACTTTTCTCATCTTTCAATATTCCAACCGTTTTGACTACTTTCATATTAAAATCATTTTGTTCCTGTGTTCTTTTTTGTTAACAGTACTTTATTATACACAGTCCTTGTTGTTATTGCTTTTGTTCATTGTCCTCACAAAATACAGAGAGTTAAGATGTATCTATTATTCTTTAAAATACTATTTGCTTAAATTTGTGGATTTTGACTTTTGTACAAAAATGCCCAATAGCATCTTGTAATTCCTAAGATTATTATTATTGTGTTTAATTAATAAATTTATTAAATTAGCTCTGTATTTAAGGACATCATAATCAATATTTAGTTTCTGAAAGATTATTTTTTGAATTGAAAAAATTGTAATAATCTGAGTTTTCTGTCAGTCTGTTGACATCTTTAATTATAACAGTCACATTTTTGTCTTCTGTAATCATGGTTCTATAATATCAATACATTCATATAAATGAATGTGAACTGGAATGATTAATTATTATTATTATTTAGGCTATTATATATAAAGCAGTTAATGAAACCTAAAAACATTAGGTTTGAAATTCAATCAACAAACTTAGCAGTTTGTTGATTGAATTTCAAACATGGTGCCAAGTTATAGACAATTCATGTCCTTTATATAAAAAGTCAGTCTTGTATATAACTTTATTCAAAAAACAGAATGATGATTAAAATATCAAACAAACAGCCAGACTTTTTATCAGTCTGTTTAAGGCAAATTAATTATTATAGAATTACATAGTTTTGTTGGAGGTAGACAGTTAAGCCACCACAGAAAAGCATGAGAAAAAAGTAGCCTGGTAAGGGACTCAAAAATCCAGAATTTCCACTTAAAGATTACTTGCTAGTTACACTACCTGGATCTTTGTCCAATCTTCACTTCCAAACCAATAGCTATATACACTCACTCACTGTGTTGACTGGGGATGGCTTAGTGCCCATGCATTCTGTGGCTCTCAGCAAACTCATATACCATGCTGGGGCAAAAGCATATTTTAAAATACAGTAGAACCTCGATTATCCGGACTAATTGGGGATGAAGTTAGTCCGGATAAGGAAAAATCCGGATAATCGAAACAAATACTTTAATTTGTCTTTTAATGATAATACAACACGTTTTCTTTTCGATGACATATCGGTAATATTAAAAGCGAATACTGTATTTAAATCGTGATCAAATTTTCAACAAACAAACGTTCGTATTGAATTTGGACTACTACTGACCAACTCTAGCAGACTATCTATTGTTTAAAAGGCCCTCTGGTGGCGCAAGAAGACGGATTTTATAAAATAAAAAGCAGTTGAAACTGCATTTTTATGAATAAAAATTTGACAAACTATTTATCGTTTTATGACGAGTAAAATTTTTTCGTCGCGTTCGCGGCTTTTAAGTAATGCATAAACCTTCGAGGCGCGAGGCCCTTCGGACCGCGAGGCATAGGCGGTGGCCCACGTCGTCCATGCCTTACGCCGCCCTTGGTCATAGAAATGATGTAATTTGAATATAAATTATTTATAAATACGTATGTCAAATTATATTTTTATTACTACGTAAAATATATTTAAGAGTTTACGACCACTGTGCTGGGTGAGACGTTGTTGAAACAAAAAAAGTTATGCATTCCATCACGTACATAAACAGTGTCGTAATTCACCAAGTGCAAATCAGCAAATTCGTAAAATGTTTGTTTATTTTGAACAATCCGGATAATCGAAAATCCGGATAATGGAGGTTCTACTGTATATATAATCTCTGAATTCCTTATTAATTAATTAGCCATAAAGCCATAAAGTAGCCTGATAAAGAATCTGACTGTTCTATCTTTTGCTTCTATTCTGTTTCTTTAATCTCAATATGTAACCAATTCTATTATTCTTCTATTATAAGAATTATCTACTATTTCTATTATTAATGTACAAGAATGGCTGAATAAATTTGCATGAATCGTGGAATTGGGGCAGGAGGGAGACCTTCTGGTTGTTGTAGGAGTGTCAGTGAATGATGTGGAGGACAATGAACAAAAGCAATAACAACAAGGACTGTGTATAATACAGCACTGTTAACAAAAAAGAACACAGGAACAAAATGATTTTAATATGAAAATACACTGTAGTCAAAATGGTTGGAATATTGAAAAATCAGAAGAGAGTGTATCAGAAAAGTGTTTGTGCCTTGTTCAGCTTGTATGGAAGAAAACCCATTGAGGAGAGAAATATTGTAATTTCCAAAATGCATCTGGGTGAAATAAAGACATTGATTGACTAGTAATTACAGAGTCTGCAGATGTGATAATTCCTATAAAATAATGGTGCATGAGCCAGTTATATATTGAGAAATCTGGTTGTTCATTTGATATTTAAATTAATTGCCAGATTGGTTGTATATGTTATTGATTAAAATTTTTTAAAGGACTTTTTAAGTTCTTAGACTTTACATTTAGAAATTTATAAGAAACAAATGATGATATAAACTTTCAATATATTTTCAATCTAATGAAAATCTATTGCAATGGCTTGTTTTTCATTTTTAAATCAGCTGTTCTAATTATTTTAGTTTAGAGCATTTGCTAAGAAATGACATTATGACAGTTGCAATTTAAAGATCGTTCGATCTTTAAATTGCATTTAAAGGATGGAGTTTGAATCACTCTTTAAAAAATCAAATTTGAAACTGAAAACTATTCAAAGAAATGTTATATTCGAAAGTAAAAGATTCTGAACATGAGAAGAATTTCACTTAAAAATTAAGTTAAAATTATTTTTGACTCCTGCATTAAATCTATGAAAATTTCTTTCTAAAACTTATCAAAATACTGTACTGTACATTAATTAACAGATTATAAGAAGCACTTAAATTTATACCAAAATTAAATTTTAAATCCTTTACTTTGTTAAAAAATTAAATAAATGTTATTTACTGTTTCTAATTTTTTCCTGGCATCATTGAGGGCTTTTGTTAGTTCTTCTCTCTTTTTTGTTTGAGAATATACCTAAAATATTGCAAAACATTATTTAAGATTATATTAATAATCACTAATAATTTATATTATTTTGATATTTCAAAAGCAAACAAAATTACCTGCTTTCCACTATTTGGAGTATAAGATCTAAAAGAAAACAAAATTTTAAATAAAATTTTTAATTTAGTTTAGTTAGTCAAATTGTTTTATCTTTATTTTCTTACTGTGAACTGTTTTGTGGTGATTTTGAAAGATATTTGGCCGAAATACTTTTCCTCTCATCATGAGATTGTTCATTTAATTGCTTTTTCTGCCAAATGGAACTTGCACTTCTCTCTAAACTTTCGTAAGTACGTTTCATAAATTTTTCCCTTTCGTCCAAACGTTCCAAATTTTCTGTGCTGACATACATGGAGTTAATGAATGATCTTTCTCCTTCACCTGAAGTACCCAAATCATCTCCATCACTGTTTACATCATGATCTACACAAATAAATCCAATTCTAATTTAAACATAATTATTAATTTTTATGTAATCAGTCTGTTTTTAAGAAGAATACATGAGAGAAATTCTAATAAATCTCTAATAAGTGATGTTATAAATTAAAATATAAAAGGTGTTTAGTGATCTTTTCATTAAGAAAATATGCTTAACTTTTTGACAGTTTTCAATATAAATTGCCAAGGCTTTTTACATTATGTAAACAGGTTTATGATGCAACATTGATGGAAAGTTTACAGCACATAGTTTAAAACTTCTAGCTTTTTTAGTTGTTTATGAAGAAAGGTCTTATTAAAAATTTCCCATTAAAAAAATTAATTTTTAAGCATTTTTTTTTTATTGAATTAGTGAAAAAAAGAAACTTTAAATGCAGGCAAATAGAGGAAATTGGAAGAAAAAATTGGATAATAAAGAAAAGAGACTGAATTGAGTAAGATTTGAAATCTAAAGTATAAATATCAAAAGGATTAAATCTAAAAATATTTTTCTTTCAGGTTAAAATAGTTAATCTATTATAATTCCAGAATATACTGCATTATTACATTTTTATAATATCTTTGTGAGACTTTGTAATTTATTTACATAACTAAATCATAACATAACATTTTGACAATAAAATTTTGTCGAATAACTGTCAACTTTCACACCTAGGCATAATCGTTTGTTAAGTTCTCAGCAACAAAAATGATGCTTTCTCGACCTCCTGACCTATTGTCTCATTTCATCAGTTGAATATGGCAAGGAACTGCAAATTTAGGCAATTGTCGCCAGTCCCTCAACAAAATATCATCTCTTATCTAGTGCCTAAATTAGTGCCAACAGATATACCTAGTTCTTGCAAATACACCAGTTAAATGGATACTTCTTCATCTATGAAGATGCATTTTGAAGACAAACTCTATCTCAGAGGACTAAGATACTTTGCTACACAATCAAGAGAACCTCCCAAAAACAAGCATCAGACTATTTTCGAACATCATCCACCCCAAAGGTATTTATCGCCACATGAATTTCATGTGAACTCTCTCTTTCTCTTGCGACCGCTAGATTGATAGGCTAAATCAATATACAGGTAACCCCCATATAACATGGCACTTCTATAGCATGGATTCACTCTAACACGGTTTGAGAATTGGTACCATCCCCTCGTACAACAGGAAATGTAATAAATTTTTACATACTTAAGTAATAATAGTTCACGAAAATAATAATTTTCGTGAACTATTAGTACTTAAGTACGTAAATTTTCTCTTCTCGCCTTCTGTCGATACACATGGTCCTTCTCGAATGTTGCCAGATCGCGATGCTTCTGCTTCTGATGTTGCCAAATGTTTTTCCCTTATTCCATACTTGCTTTATTCTTCATAAGTGCTTAGCAACATATCAGAAAATTTATAAAGATCTTTTAATTAGAAGCAAGCAATCTAAAATTACATACTTTTTGCAAAAGGTAAAGCATGGATCTGAAGATAATGCAGAAAAATGCTCAGAGGATAAGGATAACTTGCCAAAAAGAAAACGCTCTCGGTTAATTAATAGTGTTTTTAGTGATGACAAAGAAAACATTGTTTAATTTATATTAATATGTATCACTTAAAAAATTTTAATGAAGATATTTATCTTAATTATGAAAATATACTAGCATGTTTTTTAATTTTCGGAACCTAACCCTCCTTTTCGTATTAGTTCTTTGTTTCGTATAACACAGATTCGCATAACACGGCAATTTTTTGGAATGTAACTACCGTGTTATACGGGGGTTACCTGTATATCTATCCCAACATATCTATTGTATTGTATCATGTACTCCTTTTTGTTGAAATTAAATTGTTATTAGTTGTTAACTTGGTATCCAAGTGATTCACTTCTGGTACACTGTCTCTCAATCTGTCTGCATCCCAAATCCAATCACCCGCGCACATGGCCGCTCACGTGACCGAATCAACACACCATCTCAGCTTCCATGTCAATCAGGACACGGTAGTGTCAGTCCTGATGAGGCACTAAAGAGGTGCCAACCTTCTGGTCACATCTTTATAATTCTATACAATATTCAAAAATAATATTTTTCATATCATACAGAATAAAATTTATATTCTAAACTAGAAAATTTTTAATCAAGCATAAAATGAGCTATGAAAATAAAATGATAAGAAATTAAATTATAAATAATTTATCATGATAAAATTGAATAATATATACGGGGAGCATGATAGAGTCCTTATACACACATAACTGACAAATGCAGATAGCTACAGTTATGAACATGATATATAGTTATAGTAAAATGACTATGTACTATCAATACAAGTTGAGACTGCTTGCAATGCAACTAGCAGTAAAGTTTATGTTAGCACTCCCATCTTTAAATGATGCACAATACAAATTACAAAGCACCAAATTCTGAGAAATAGCGACAGAATAAGAAATACAAATTTCTATCCTGGACAGAACTTCTCATTGCTTGATGGATTAATTTGCCACACCTACATGTAATGCACAGTTTCAGATCCCTTGCTTCATGATACAATTAGTAACATAGCATTAACGGGAATCAAATACCATAAATTAGCATTTCTCACTTTCCATTCATGTATTCAAGGTATAATTTCTTATTAAATTGGTCATGCTCTACAACTTTGTAATTGACTTTTTTCCATATCATGCATTGTTTGAGATAGGAGTGCTAGTGCTAATTTCTGAATTTTACCACTAGGGGCGCTGCAAGCAGTCTGTTCTTGTAATGCATATCACTAACAATAACTAAACATGTTCATATCTGTAATTATCTCCATTCATCAATTGCAATGGCTGTATTTCTATACAGCCATTGCAATTGCTTTACTGTGGACTGTAACTGTATAACTGTAAAAAAGTTACTTTGCTTTAATACAGAATTGAAAAGTAAAATGGCAAAACCGTATTTGGGACAAGACTATGTCTTGGAGACTCACTACTAAGCGGAATCACTTTGATGCTCAAGGTGGATCTCGTTCTCATTCCCCAATCTTCTTTGGTATCGCTTCTTTTGAACACAATCGTTCAAATTTTGCAGGCCATGATGCATTTTCAATGAAATTAACATATCCAATTTCAAAATTTCTCTCTGTTGCATGTCGGTCCAGGTTGAATTTTTGTCAATGCATAACGAAAATTTCCCGTTTTTGAAAAAAATAATCGTGGCTATTGTATTGTCCAAAATTATTTTTGTATTTTGCACAAACAATATACAGTTTAACCCGATTATAATGTCATCAGATGTAATGACGACCCTAATACGAGGTGTGTCCAGATAGTAAGTACCGTTTTGTTCTACCACCACCACAGCGGTAGTATCGCAGTTCAGCACCTGCGCACACGTGTCTCTGGTTGATTGTCAGTCCAGTGACGCCATTAGAGCCGGATTGTGTTGTTTTTCCACGTGTTAGTGAGCGTTCAAAATGTTTAAGATGATTGCCGATCCTGTCAACTGTGAAGTGCGTTCTGTAGTACCGTTTTTGAACGCAAAGAATGTTAAGCCAGTTGAAATTCATCGTCAACTTGTAGAGATGTATGGTGAGAATGTAATGAGTGATAAAGTGGTGAGAAAGAGGGTTCGACAATTCAATGTTGGATGCACCAATGTTCATGACAAAGCACGGAGTGGCTGGCCTTCTGTTGTCAATGATGGTTTGGTTGCAAAAGTGAATAAGAAAATTCTTGAAAACAGATGGTTCACAATAAGATTGCTTTGTGATGAGTTTCCACAAATTTCAAAAACTGTTTTGCATGAGATTGTCACAAATTGCTTAAATTATTGCAAATTGTGTTCCCGTTGGGTTCCCAAAATGCTTACGGATGTCCACAAAATGAAGCGACTTGGANAAACAGATGGTTCACAATAAGATTGCTTTGTGATGAGTTTCCACAAATTTCAAAAACTGTTTTGCATGAGATTGTCACAAATTGCTTAAATTATTGCAAATTGTGTTCCCGTTGGGTTCCCAAAATGCTTACGGATGTCCACAAAATGAAGCGACTTGGAAGTGCTTTGACATTTCTTACCCGATACAGTGAAGAGGGTAAAGATTTCCTAAACAAAATTGTTACAGGTGATGAAACTTGGGTTTATCATGTCACTCTAGAATCAAAACAACAGTCGATGGAGTGGAGGCATTCATGGTCCCCCACAAGACACAAATTCAAAACAACATTGTCAGCACGAAAAATCATGTGCACTGTGTTCTGGGACAGATAGGGCATTCTGCTTGTTGAGTTCCTTCCCAGAGGTGAAACCATCAATGCGGAACGATACTGTGAAACATTGCAAAAACTTTGCCGTGCAATTCAAAACAAAAGATGTGGAAATCTCAGTAAAGGCATTGTGTTGCTTCACGACAATGCATGTCCCCATACTGCTGGTGTCACTCAAAACCTTATTCAACAATTCGGTTGGGAGCAGTTCGATCACCCACCGTACAGCCCGACCTCGCACCTGCAGACTACCATTTGTTCTTGAACTTGAAGCGTGATTTTGGAGGGAGGCGCTTTGCCAGCGATGAACACGCAACAACCAATGTTCAGCAGTGGCTGTCTTCACTGGTGGCATCTTTCTTTGAAGAGGGTATAGACAAGCTGGTTTCCCGATATGACAAATGTCTGAACAATGGTGGTGACTATGTAGAAAAATAGTTTCCGACACGCTCTTTCATGTAAAAATAAATTTTGTTTTGAAGAAAGATTTTTTTATGTGAGTTTTTCCAAAACGGTACTTACTTTCCAGACACGCCTCGTATAACGTCAAATTTTTATCGGTTCCACGATTTTACCATACCAGATAATGTTAAAAAATCTACTTGTAACGACACCCTGTTTTAATGTCATATTTGAAGCACTCCCAAATTTACAAAATTAGATTACAAATTTTATTTAACATAAAAGAAACTATGTGTTCAGTCCTAAGGTCAGAGTACACTTCTTAGAATGACTGCCGGTGGAACTCTCCTCCACTTGAGTTCGGTGGGGTGAGGTGCCTGTTTTGTCTGTTTGTAGAAGGAGTTGCCATTTTGTATTTTATTTTCACTCAGTTCTCAGCCCCCTGACTACCTACAAGTCTAGATTTTTTTATGTGCAAATGATTTGGGCACCTAATACTCTGTGCCAAATATCAACTCTCGACATGTACTCCTTCATACCTCTAAGCTGGTAACATAAACCAGCAATGCGATTTTATAAACAAGACATAGTCTTGTTTATAAAATCATACTACGACTAGTACAGTATTTGTAATGCAATTTTATTTTATTAAATTGTAATTTCCGCCAGCCATTTTTTACAAAGAAAAATATAGTCTTGTCAATAATGATAAAATGGTCCATAATAGAAACCTCAACATGCCACTGTTTAGTCCAGTTCAAGACATCAAGGTTTTCAAAAGCAATTTTATCATAATATCTCTGGATACGACAATTATTCTATCAATCCAGTATCATTTGTTTGGTCATTGTGGACTTGGACAAACCAATGAGAGAAGAAAAAATATGTCTACTATATGAATTAGTTTCATACCTAATGACTTATTAGGAGTCATTTCATGAAGATTTTCTGTTTTAGATCTTCTCAGTTTTCTTGGTAATGTTCTTGTTGATTCATTTTTTGTAGCCTGTACATTAAATGAACTAAAAAAGGAAAAGTATTTTTGTTTGTCAAAGCATCATAAAGAAATTTATTGTAGGCAGATTTCTGTATTTATCCAGAAATACAGTTAAAAGTTTTTTAAACCGAGACTTTATCACCTACCTGTTTCCAATTTCGGATCCTTCTTCTGATGGAGGGTAATAAGTAATTTCACTTTCTGCTGCTCCACTGTCGGATCTTTCATCTTCTGCTTCATCTTCTAACCTGATGCTACTTGCCGTACTAGAATCAGTCGGATGTCTTATTCTGTTTGTTTCTCTTCTGGTAATTGTGGTAGTTTCCTGGTGTAAAGATATGTGAGCTGTTGAAACCTAAAAGAAAGTTAATTTATATTATATATTATGAAATTTTTTATTAAAATGTAAAAGCCAAATATTTGTTTCCTTTATCAATCTTCACAGTTTATTGTTAATTAGATAAAACCTTTCTACTTTAATTATCCCCATTAAATTTGGATTTTTATATAATGCTAATGATTTATCATCATTTCACAATCCTTTAATGGAAAGAGCACTTTTTCACAAAGGAATTAAAGATGAAACAATAATCAGTTTTAATTTTTATTATCCAAAATGGAAATTTAATTCGTTATAGTCACTATCATAATTGTGAGACTCTGAATGTAAAAAAGATTTACTTTTGAAAGTCGAAATTTCAATGTAATACTGTTGATTCCGCTTAATTGGGACACGTTCAGACTAATCCATTTTGGCTCAATTAAGTGGCTGTCCCAATTAAATGAGCTAATAATAAATAAGTAGGTAAAAATAATAATTAGGTACCTATTTTAATGCTTTATTAAACCAAAATACAGAAAATATTTGTACTATAAATTTGCCAGACTCTTAACAACAGATAACTGATTCACATCACGCTAGTGTTGCCAAATACAGTACAGTAGAGCATCGATTATCCGACTGAATTGGGGACTCAGGTTGGTCGGATAACTGAAAAAATCGGATAACCGAAAAAATCGGATAACCGAAAAAAATGAAAAAATTACATTATTAATATAGTATATTAGTATATCCCATGTAATTAATATATTAGTATATCGCTATTAACCAACTTCATGTTGAATTTTCATTGATGTTAAGCCTAACAAAAATTTTTTTTAAATAATAATCGTCGCTATTGTATCGTTAAAAATTATTTTTAAATTATTTTATTGCTCATGAAACAAACAACCATTCATAATTAGAAAATTAAGTCTCGTTTAAATACTGGCTTCCCTTCAATGGTTGAGCCATGTTGCCAGCTAAAACACGCAAAAATTTAACAAAAATAATATTAAAGTAGCCAAGACATAGACAAATATTGTAGCGCCACATCACTAGCGGACATATGAAATTTGCCGACTAGAACAGTCGGTTAACCGATGTGACGGTTAATCGGAGGTCGGATAATCGATGCTCTACTGTATTAGTAGTGATGTACACAAGGGTTGACTGTTCCATTTGTTCCTGATCAAATGATTTTTCTTTTCTCCTTTTTTAGTTAGAACATGTTCTAACTAAAAAGGGAGAAAGGGAAGGGATCGTCCAAAAGTCACCTTATGGTCTTTCTTTAAGCACAGTTTCCTTTCCTTGGAGATGGGCCACTTCAGCACGAATATCCATAGAATCCACCAACTCCAGATGCTGGTCTCAACGATCGGATGGCTGCTGTTTGAATATAGACATAATTATGCACGCAATACCTTCCAAGAAAACTCTAGCTCAGTTGAAAGACTTTGAAAAATTGTCTGAGATCTTTGTCCCTTTGCTTTTAAAGGGATTATCCAGTCCAATCCAGAGCAGGGTCAGTAGCTTGCATTCAGGCCCATCTCAGACAGGATCCCCATGTGATACGTCCCGCTATGGTGACCCCTCCGGAAAAACTGAACTGCCTGAGTGAAAGAGAAAATCACTTTCTCTCTGCCATTTGTTAGACTTACACGACATTAGTGCACATAGTGTCTACATATTTCAGAAGACCCCTAAAATATATCGAAACTTGCTAAATTCCTTTTCTGCTACTGTCCTAATTAAGCAAAAAGTTGTCACAATTAAGCGATTAAATTATGTATTAATTTATTCGTTTGGTTTCCGTTCTTTGGGATTTGGCCCAATAAAGTGGCTGCACTGATTAACCGGTGGCCCAATTAAATGGAATAGACTATATTTTGTTGTTAAATTGTGTACTTTTTCCACTTTTTGTTGATAAAATTCAATGACAACAAGGAAATAGAACTTCCTTTTTCGCCATCCACTTCCTGAGTGAGATGTTATCATCACCAATGAGAAGACCTCTGGCCTGCATGACTCATCTAGATATCCTGTCAAATGGTTGAAATACTGACCCATGATTGGAGAGAATTTTCAAATAAAAGGTTTCAAAACTGCCATTTTTGCACAGAACCCTCGATACTCTGGAGATGTCATAATAACCAGTGGATCTCTCCTTACAACACAGCAGATAACCAAGCAGACTCTTCTCTCAAGTCAGCAGACATTCTCGAGACAAACACTCCCAAGGAGGCATAGATAGCCCGCAACAACAAAAGCTCCTCCTAGAAGATCTTTGAATGTTACTCCAATGTTCACATAAATAGGATCTAAAGATTATTAAAAGAGGTATTTTATAGATCAATGTAAACTCTCTCTTGGTGTATATAGTTCAGTATTGTGATAGTGTATGTTAATTCTTTATGTAATCCTTTATATTTTATTTACTTATTAAATTAGTTAATTGTTAACTTGGTCTAGTTCGATTTACTTAAGATGGATGCCTATTGACTGATCCACAATCTCCCCACTTGAAAGAAATTGAGCCCTCCTTTTTGAACGAATAAATCTTAATATTGCGAGCTAGGGCATGATTTTGGTAAATCCTAACTTCTGTCAGGAAATAAACCCGGAAACTTGTAAGACTCCGGTCACTTTAAATCTTTCATCATAGACATCCAGTGACCAGGTGAGTGGATCTCACCGATCTCTGCCGATAAGAGGTCAAATCCCTTTGACCCTCAGCTTCTCACATAATCTTTTCACATATTTAATATATACTGTTAGTTATATACCAATAAAACAAGATAATTTACATCTCAAATATTTTTCAATAAACTTTGTCTTCTCATTCTCAAAAGATTTTTAATAACTTTAATAGATAATAGAAATTAGTGTTGTATTTTGTTATTTTGGATCAATTTTTTAGATCCAAAAAAAGATCTTCATCAATCAAATTTGTCATGACAATGCTTTATAGTCATTATCTTATATTATAAATTTATCTAATTTTTAAAAATAGTTAAATTGATTATAACAGTTTAAGTCTACTAAAAAGAATTTAAAAAAAAAAAAAACATTCTCATCATTAGATCAATGCATGTTGTCATATACTATATTATGAAAATGCAATAATTGTTCCTAAAAGAAAATAGATAGATTTCTATAATAATTAGTCATGACCTAAGATATTTCTAATTATAGAAATAGCAATTAATTACAATTGCTAGAATTTAAACTAACATTTAATAAACTACAGTAGAACCTCCATTATCCGGATTTTCGATTATCCAGATTGTTCAAAATAAACAAAAATTTTACGAATTTGCTGATTTGCACTTGGCGAATTACGATACTGTTTATGTACGTGATGGAATGCATAACTTTTTTTGTTTCAACAACGTCTCACCCAGCACAGTGGTCGTAAACTCTTAAATATATTTTACGTAGTAATAAAAATGAAACTTGACATACGCATTTATAAATAATTTATATTCAAATTACATCATTTCTATGACCAAGGGCGGCGTAAGGCATGGACGACGTGGGCCACTGCTTATGCCTGGCGGTCCGAAGGGCCTCGCGCCTCGAAGGTTTATGCATTACTTAAAAGCCGTGAACGAGACAAAAAATTTTACTCATCATAAAACGATAAATAGTTTGTCAAATTTTTATTCATAAAAATGCAGATTCCACTGCTTTTTATTTTATAAAATCCGTCTTCTTGCGCCACCAGAGGGCCTTTTAAACAATAGGTAGTCTGTTAGCGCTGGTCAGTAGTAGTCCAAATTCAATACGAACATTTGTTTCTTGAAAATTTGATCATGACTTAAGTACTGTATTTACTTTTAATGTTACCAATATGTCATCGAAAAGAAAACGTGTTGTATTATCATTAAAAGACAAATTAAAGTATTTGTTTCGATTATCTGGATTTTTCCTTATCTGGACTAACTTCATCCCCAATTAGTCTGGATAATCGAGGTTCTACTGTATTAGAAAAATATATCATAAAAAATGTTAACAACTCTTAAATAAAATAATTAACACTTCAGTGTTGTGGTGTTACAAATTGTGACTTTTTAGATAATAGACATATTTGCTAGCACTTTAAATACCTTATAGTTACCATCTTCAGGCAAAAAATCGAATACAACTATTTTCCAGTTTTCAGCTTTTGAATGGATTTTTGAAGTTATCTAATGCACATGGATGGAATTCAGAAAAATTGATTTTAAAATTGAAAGTTATTTGAAATTTATAGAAATGTGCTGCAAATGATGTAATATTCCCAAAAATACTTAAAAAGCAATAAAGAGAGTTGTATTTGATTGTGCTACAAATGAGAAAGCAAAATCATAATTCAAATTGTTTGAACAATATTATCCACATTTGCAGGATTTCTAAGGTCATTGTATTGCATGGTGATACAGCAGATATATAGAGGTTCTCCCATATGAATAATTCTCTTTGATTGTTGCTCTGCTTAAGGTTTAAGTAATTGCTTTCGAGAAATGATTTTACCATCTGAGTAATCATTTAAATCTGTTAATTGCAGATAAAGAGAAAAGATTTGTGCTATGTAAAAACTAGGACTTTCTATCAAGACCCAACAAATTCCTTGAGCAATCCAAGTTGATTATACTAAAAGAGGACCCGACGGCAACAATACTAGGGAAGACATGTAAGGTTATAGCACTCCCATGAACTGTAGCTTCTTTAGTAGGACCTCAATCTGCCAACTAATGCTGCTTGCCCAAGATTGTTCTTCGAAGTGAAAATGCATAAACCTGCATGGCCCTTAAGACGGTTGGTTAACAAATTCTTCCATCCCACATACTACCTAGCGACAGCACTAGTAAAACAAATTACAGCTTTAGTTCCACCCTCCGACTTTGTAACCACAGTCACAATGGATGCTAAATCTAACATCTTGGCTAAATTAAAGAACCTTCCCACTTGCTCATACCAATTGTATAAAATTGATGTAATTTCCAAATATCCATCAGTGCCACATTTTGAAGCCATCATGCTTGTAAATGTGCTGCTACTTAACTCTGGATACCCAGTATCACATGTATTACATTTACAAGAGGCTCTCTTTCTCATCACAGAAAACAATTACTTTCAATTTAATGGCAAAATATACCCAGACCCAGAGAGTGCTAATGGATTCCTCCCTCTCACCCATTTTGGCAGAGCTCATCATGAGGAATATAGAGTATTGTATTTTCAACTCCCCTTGGGATAGTGGTTAGTCAGTCATGTATTTACAATATGTAGATGACATACAGTTGACCCCCCTATAACACGGGTTTCTATAGTTCAGATTCCTATATCATGGTGCAAAAATTGCGACAGTATTCATACAAACATGCTAAAAAAACTCCTATAATTCGGTAAAACGTCGTTGCCGACTCATGTTGCGACAGGATTGCACAAACCATTGAGTTTAAACGAGCAGCGGACCTACCAAAAACCATTTATTATTTAACGTCCATAAAAATTATATTTATATTAATGATGTCTCTAAAATTCAGTGAATTTTTCGCAAAAAAAAATAATTTATCAGGAAGCACGCGAGCGCCATTCGATGACAATCTCCATGACGAAAACAAGCTTAAGCAACGGCGTAGTCAAACGGTGCACACTCAGTAAGTAATCCTACAATTTTTTGTTTATAGCATAGTTTATATGGATTATTCCCAAAAAATTATACGTATTTTGGAAATGTTGAGTCGAATTAATCCAGAATCGATTAATTTTATGGCAAAAACCTTTCAAACAGCCATAGTCCATAAACTGCATACGTGCCGGGCTGTGATTGGCTAGACTCCTAGAAGCTGGATTCATAAAAACAGGAACATATCTACCATGTTATAGGGGGGTTGACTGTATTGCTTGCATGGGATGGCTCTGCAGATGATTTAGATAATTCTATTCAAATGTTAGCTTCTATATATTCTTCAATCAACTTTACAGTGGAGGAAGAACAAAATACCAGAATCTCCTTAGATCTAGAAATACGATCTACTATTGTCAGTACACCATAGAAACAACAGGGTGCCACATATTATCCGTGCAACTGCTTTCCAATCCTCGCACTTTGTGAATTTCGCTATTACATCTCTCATTCGGAGGGTGCTCCTTCTCCATCCACCCAGACATTAATAGACAAGGAATTACAACTTATTAATAAGGCCATGCAATGTTTTTGACACGGTTATGGAGAAAGTTTTGTTCCAGTTAGGTTTCGTTTTCTCCATAACAGTGTCAAAAACAAATTGTTTCCACAGTCTTTCCTCTGTAACAAAGAACTAAAGATAGTACAACCTCTGATAAGATTTTTGGCCCTATATTGCTAAAAATAGCACATCTTTTTAAAATGTAAGGCTTACTTTGCCTATAGCCCCACAACCAACACTAAGAGTGATATGCAATGATAGAGATATTCTTACATTAAATGAAAAAATCGGGGGTCTACAAAATTCCGTTAAAACATGCACTGTCAGGGGAGGAAACTATCTACATAGGGGCTATGTCCCACATCCTGGAACATCAAGAGGATATTACAAACAATAGCAATGGAGTTAGCTTAAAAGGTACTTGACCAGGATTATCTACCACTTTGGGACAAACTAAATTACTTAAGCAGCGCAACTATCAAGAGAATTATTCATATGGGAGAACCTCTATATATCTGCTGTGCATATATGACCTCATATCTGCTGTGCAATACAACAACTTTAGAAATCCTGAAAATGAGGATAATATTGTTCAAACAGTTTGAATTATGATTTTGCTTTCTCATTTGTAGCACAATCAAATACAACTCTCTTTATTGCTTTTTAAGTATTTTTGGGAATATTACATCATTTGCAGCACATTTCTATAAATTTCAAATATCTTTCAATTTTAAAATCAATTTTTCTGAATTCCATCCATGTGCATTAGATAACTTCAAAAATCCATTCAAAAGCTGAAAACTGGAAAATAGTTGTATTTGATTTTTCGCCTGAAGATGGTAACTATAAGGTATTTAAAGTGCTAGCAAATATGTCTATTATCTAAAAAGTCACAATTTGTAACACCACAACACTGAAGTGTTAATTATTTTATTTATTTGAATGTTAGCATGAAGTGTATTTTATGATCATTAACAACTCTTATTTGAAAATTGTGCATCAGCCAGTGAATTATCTAATTAATATATTCTAAAATAAATTAAATATTCAAATAAATTTGCAGTAAACTTTTCTCAAAGTTAGAGAAATGCATTCTTCAGTTTAAACATAATTTCTCTAATTATGCCAAATACATACTAATGTGAGGATCACGAGTCGTTACGTTATTCTAGTAATGCGTTTTGATTGTCAGATCATTAGACCCGCACACGGTCATCTAGGATAAGTTTTTAAGAATAAATATTTTTGTAAATGCAGAGTATAGCGGCCAGAGCCACAAAAATTATACAAATGAAATTAGACAGCAAGTTCCATGGTTGCTACGTTCCACACACAGACAGCACAAAGAAGTGGTAACCGTTCCATATTACAATTATACAGAACAGGCAGTGCCTACCGCGGTACATGAAGCTCTACAGCGAGGGCCCAAGTACATCCCTCCTCCTAACACCAAACTTGGCCAGTTGGTCCCAGTATCATTGGCAGCACTCAAGTCGTGCCAGGCAACAACTAAATATTTTTGTACAGGGAGGTCGTAAAACACCTTGTACGTTGTTTACCTGACACCAGCCTAAATTGAGCAATAGGCATGCTACTGTGTAAATTAGATAACTCTTCTGAGGAGGAGGGACCATATGTAAGTGATAAGTGATAAGATTTCAGCATGGACATAAATTCAAAAACGAGGTCATATAAACTACAACCAAAATTTAATAAGAAATAACAAATAAAATACAGCTATTGAGAGATTATTAATCCCTATCTTATTTGCATGAAAGAGAGAGAGTTTACAAGTATTAAGATGTACTACCTCAACTGTAGATCTTGAGCTTACTCTTGATCAGTGACAAAGTGTTGATAAGACGGGACGACTGCAGTGGTAGTTTGGGGAGGAGGATGAAGTTCTAGGCAGGAACTTATGGTGCACAAGCTAAATCTTTGGACGAGAGATTCTTATGGCAGACAACCATCTTCTATGGCAATATCAATGTCGATGAACTGCCCCAAATGGCGGGAAAAATCACCCTTCTTATCGTACTTTCTGACCAATAGCGTAAAAGGATCCACGGTTACTAACAGGATGTGCAATGATGTGCAGAGGAGGTAAAGAAGCAGATGGTTGTCAGAATTGTAGATAAGGTCAGGTCTTGTGAGAAGGAAAGTTGATTTCCCTTTTCTCGAAAAATGACAAATGTAAACAATATGTTTTTTTGTAAACAATATGTAAGAAATAATTTAATTTCTCAAGCTAATTAATTTAATAAATCCCGATTTTCACACTAATAAATCATTTTTTTTCTCTAATACAGTTAAAATATTAAAATAATAATAATGATTTATATTATCAGATTTTATTATTAAAGCTATGTTAAGAACGAATAATCACTACTATTTATGAAAACAAACAGAATGAATAGAAGATTAAGAATAGAAAGTCACATTTTAGGGATCAAATAAATGAATGAATACCCATGAATTAAAATCAAGTGGATGTGATCCCAGACCACATCCTCTTGATTTTAATTGATGAGATACTTGAAAGCTGTTATACCAAGTTATGTTGTAAAACATAGACCATCTGTGGACCACATTTGTGATGCTTGCATGCTCATAATACAATAGCAGGTATTCCTTAAAAAGCATTCCTTATCAGTGGGATAAATGCATCTGTATATAAATTTAGTTAAATGTTGGCCATATACGGAATATTATTATTCACAAGTAATTTTAAATATATCCCCATATAATCAAAAGTCTCACTTACAAAGTGAGATTTTTTGCCTATGTATGAAAACTTTGACCCTGCATTTATAAATAAAACTAATATATATTTACAATTTTTATAATCTATATATATATATATATATATATAACCCACTCAACGGGTATCTGTCTGTCTGTCCCGTAACCGCTTGATAACGGACATTAGAGGCACCCCTATCATGTATCATATTTCAAACATTCAAATTAACAATTTTAATTCTTATTTAAATTAACAATATAAATTTTTATTATTCATTTGGCCAATAAATTATTATTTGGTCAATATAACAATATAAATAATTCAGTATATTTGTAATAGGAATTTATTATTTCAGGGGCTTATATCTCTCGAAGGGTCGCGAGTAGGGGTATGGTTCCTTTGACTTTATTGTTAGTACAGGGGTCTATGGTTTGGGGAGTTCGCCACCTCTTCATTTGGAGGGTAAATCTTACCATTCGGACTTTAACAGAGCTGTAGAGCACATTGATAGGAACAAAAAAGTCAAAGGAACCGTGCCTCATGGATATTTGTAAATAACGCCCACTAGGGGGCGTCCCGAGCTACTAGTTTAAATAAAAATCAAGCTTAAAAAAACAAACCTGATTGGAAGTGCTGTTAACTTCTTCCCTGCTTTGAAAAATTCTTTCTTCATTATGTGAATATCTATTTTGTTTTTGCCCTATAGAATGATCAATTGAATATTTGATACAATATAACTTTGCAAATATTAAAATCATATACTGTGAATCTTGTTTAACCTTGATTATTGGGGTATGGAATAATGGAATCGGAAGGAAGATAGGATCGGACAACCAGACCCTGTCCATCGACTCTCTGTGCCCAGCGACCTCTAGGCTGAATAGTGAGTGAACTTTCAGATTCCGAATAGGAACTTGACGTAGTTGAGTCTTCTACTATCTGTTCAGTTTAAGAAAAATTCATTTCAATTAAGTTGGTTTGCAAATTTTCAAATTATAATGCAACATACAAAATATACCTCTAACAATTACATACCTGTTTTTTTGCCCATCCGGGTAATTGACCGATACTGAAACGATATTCTGGAGAATTCTCCATTGATATTCCCAAATCTTCTTTCATGCGCGAATCCCAAACTAGAGACGAGAAATTAGGATCCTTCTTCTGTCCGTCACGTTCTGCCATCTGGATAGGTTCCGTCACAGCCGTCTTTCTATGTAAAAGAATGCTTAATTAATATAATTCTAACAAAATGACGACATTTTGATTATATTGAATATTCCCTACTTTCCATCCTGCCATAAATTATGTGTAGAATTACTAACAGCTTGTTTGGCAATAATGTTCTGAGTGACTTCTACAGGTAGCCTCCAAAGAAATACACATCTAAATTTTAAAAAGTATGAATTTACATTATTTTAGTAAAATATAATTTTAGTTTTTTTATTATAATGTATAAGTATAATGGTACTTACCCATCGCCACATACAGAAACAATATATTTTCCATTACTAGAAAATATGAGACTAGTAACCAATTCGGAATGACCAGAAATTATGGATATGCATTCACCCGTATAATAATTAAATATTGAAACTGTTTTATCAGTTGAACTAGTAGCTAAATATGTTCCAGTTGGATCTAATATTACCTAGAAGTCAATAAAAAATCACAACAATAAATCAGTAACATATATTTACACTTCTGAGATAAGACCAATATATACATTTTTAATTAACTTTGAACTGTAAAAAAATTAATTTATTATCAAAACATTTTGTCAGATATCACTATTCTCTAAATTCATATCAATTATCTAACTGATTAAATATTGTTTCTAATCATTTTTGATGAAATAATATATGAATACTTATATTTTCATTTATAGATATTTATAATATATTAACATTTTAAATTAATTAAAATATTGGCAAAAATCAATAATTTTAAATACTTTTCCACTAGAAGACTTAAATATATCATAAAAAAGTATTTAAAATATACAGTAATACCTCGACTTACACTACCCCGACTTATGCAAACCCGAAGTTACACGATTTTCAAATTTCATCGATTCGTCTTGTTTGAGCGCCACGCAACTCTTGATTATTCACTCCCCCACACTATTGTTCAGCTTACATGTTCGGACGTGTCGCGTGGAATCGTCACATAGCTGCAATTTATTTTGTGTTATTTGTTTCTGTGTTTATTATATCTATGTAGACTTGAGAGACTCTATATGGTGATTTCTTGTAACCATGAACGAATCAAAAGACGAGATAAGATTAACGAGAACATTTATTAGCTTACATACATCCGACTTGGATTTTACATAAATTGCAAAATTATACCCCATCTTACGTGGTTATCACTCGGTCCCACCTATCGCATAAGTTTGGGGTATCACTGTACTTAATGTATTTTAAATACTTCTTTTATATAGTATATATAATATACTGCAGTGAAAGACAAGGAAAACAGGAAACTTGGACACTAAGCGTACTAGAATGATAGCTGTTTAAATTATTTAGAGCCATCAATGATAACTGAACATGGGCCAGGGTAAACATTAACATCCTTTAAGAATATGGTACAAGAAGAATATGTTAAACAACATAATTCTAGAAACTATTATTGTAATTTCATCAGATATTAACGTTTCACTTTCAAATACAGTGGTGCCTCATATAACGTATGCCTCGAATAACGGACGCTGCGAACAACGGACTTTCCGTTCGGCAGTTACGTGAGGTGAACAACGGTCTTTCTGCGAACAAGTGCGAATGATGTTTCCACTCTTTTGCCATTGCTAATGACAATCTGCTATTTTTATAATATATTAGTATTATTAGAATATATTATTAGTATATCTGAAGTACAGAGCTCCCGTTGGGATTGCTCCCTTGTTTATTACGTACATCACCTCAGTGCAGGGTATTTACATTTATTCGAGTGTTGTGCAAATCATGGCTTCTAAAAAAAACAGAAAGGTGATTTCAATTGAAACAAAGTAAGAAATAATCAGAAGGAGTGAAAGTTGACAAAAACTTCCTTAAATGCAGAAACTATTCTATCTACAGCACCGGGATGAAAATGACGTCACACTACGGAACCTGTGACCGGTGCTCTGTGCGTATATGTTAAAATATCCTGACAAACGTTTTTGAGCGTTCCAATCGCTCTTCTTCAGGTCAACTGAAGGAATTCCCCGGACGGAGTGTATATTATTCTCTAGGATTGGGTGTCGGTTTCGAGGGGGTGGGTCTCTTCCGGTGTGTGCGGTCGTGCGGCGGGGGGAGGAAGCGGTGGGTTGGCGTCCAATAGCGATTGCCAGGCCAGAGACAAGGTTAGTTCCTCTTTCCGGTTAATGCAGGTAGTTAGCCGGTCGGCGTTGTGGATAGCCGCGGCTTCCAGCCATCTAAGCTGCTGTTGGTGGGGCGTGTTGACAATAATGGTAGCCTTCTCGAAGTGCACCTCGACTTCGGGGTCGGATGCATAAGTGGCTAGGGCTGTGGTCAGCCTGCCGTGCCGGATATCCGCTTGGTGTTCACGTAGGCGGGTGCTTAAAGAGCGTTTGGTTGAGCCGATGTACAGTAGCTCTGCGTTTTGTCTATTGTCATGGAGCGGGATAGAGTAGATACCGGGGAGTCTGGTGCGATCGGGAGGGTCTTTATCGTTTCTTAGGATGCGGAAAATCGTGGGGCATCTTCTGTATGCCAGTCGAATCCCGTGCTCTTTGGCTATTCTTCTATGTATAGCCTTGAGGTGCGGGTTGTATGTGATGGGGATCCGTGTCGGGTTATCCCGTTGCAGGTCGGCGGCGGTCGCTGCGGTTAGGGTGCGTTTCCGATGCTGGTACTGTTCAATTAAGCGGTGCGTTATGTTCGGGAAGCCGTGTACAGTTGCTATTTTTTGCTTTTTGTTCGGGAAGCCGTGTACAGTTGCCTGACGAATGAATTAGACCGCATCAAAAAAATAGCAACTGTACACAGCTTCCCGAACATAACGCACCGCTTAATTGAACAGTACCAGCACCGGAAACGCACCCTAACCGCAGCGACCGCCGCCGACCTGCAACGGGATAACCCGACACGGATCCCCATCACATACAACCCGCACCTCAAGGCTATACATAGAAGAATAGCCAAAGAGCACGGGATTCGACTGGCATACAGAAGATGCCCCACGATTTTCCGCATCCTAAGAAACGATAAAGACCCTCCCGATCGCACCAGACTCCCCGGTATCTACTCTATCCCGCTCCATGACAATAGACAAAACGCAGAGCTACTGTACATCGGCTCAACCAAACGCTCTTTAAGCACCCGCCTACGTGAACACCAAGCGGATATCCGGCACGGCAGGCTGACCACAGCCCTAGCCACTTATGCATCCGACCCCGAAGTCGAGGTGCACTTCGAGAAGGCTACCATTATTGTCAACACGCCCCACCAACAGCAGCTTAGATGGCTGGAAGCCGCGGCTATCCACAACGCCGACCGGCTAACTACCTGCATTAACCGGAAAGAGGAACTAACCTTGTCTCTGGCCTGGCAATCGCTATTGGACGCCAACCCACCGCTTCCTCCCCCCGCCGCACGACCGCACACACCGGAAGAGACCCACCCCCTCGAAACCGACACCCAATCCTAGAGAATAATATACACTCCGTCCGGGGAATTCCTTCAGTTGACCTGAAGAAGAGCGATTGGAACGCTCAAAAACGTTTGTCAGGATATTTTAACATATACGCACAGAGCACCGGTCACAGGTTCCGTAGTGTGACGTCAAAAACTTCCTTGTCAAATGAGGAGAGGTTCAGGAGTTTACCAACACTCATTATCCAAACAGAGCTGAGGGCCAACAGGATCAATGATCTCTACAATGACACCCTTGCCCGTCATTTCCGACAGGTGTTGAAGAAGAGAGAGAAACAGACCACCTTGGACATGTTTTTCAAGAAGTCAGCTGCCAAAAAACAAAGAATGGAACAAGAGGAGATGACCCTGCAAGCACCGGTAACCTCTCCTGAATCTGACTCCGATTAAAAAACAATAAAAAGAGACCTGCTGCAATGTGTAAAATGTCTGTATCTCTATGAATGTGTGAAGAAAGTGTTCCTCCACCTCCTTCTGACATCATCTGACTACCCGGCATAATTGGTGACTGCTCCATTTTCATTTTTTTTTTTTTTTATGGTACAGTACGGTTATTTTATGCTGTGGAACGAATTATATGTCTTAACATGCATTTCTATGGGATAATGCGTTTCATATAACAGACTTTTCACTTAACGGACATGAACCTGGAACGGATTAAGTACGTTATAGGAAGCACCACTGTACTGAGTATAACTTCAAATGGTTAGAATAAGATATTCTAACCATTTATATGATTGTTTATAGGCCAACAAAATTTTATCATTCACTGGAAAATTCAAAATAAACATTTGACCCTCTTCACTGATCAAATTTTCATCTTTGTTAACGAATGTGATTTTCTTAGATACCTTAATTAGTGTCCCCTCTTCAGTTTGAGAGGCATGAAACGAACGGCTCAATTTTGTTGTAGTAACACTGTAAGTTCTAATATTTTGATCTTGACATGCCGTAACTATGTGTTGTTGCTGCGCATCGACATCCATATCATAGAACGTTGTCTTTCCCACCATGTGATGCTCTCGAACAAATTTCAAGCGAGGCGTCTAAAATTTATTGGTAGATTTGTTAAATAATACGTATTTATAAATAAAAGTAAAAAATTTTTTAAATTCTTACAAATTGAGCCTGTCGAAATATCACAGATTTATCTGCTCCACACGATATTAACTGCAACTTGTTGATATTTACAAATCTCACGGCGGTAACTGAAGACGAGTGATCGTCTAACGTCTGTAAAAAAGCGTAGTCTTGTTCTGCATCAAAAATATGAATCAGACGATCTCTGCTAGCCGAAGCAAGATATTTTCCTTTGCCTGTAATGAAAGTTTTTAAATATAGACATTTAGTATAATTATCATATATAAATTTACTTATATTGTCAGCCAGATGGCCAAGACAGTTAAGGCATCACACTACCGATCTGTGGAAAATGGGGGTGAATCCAGACAATTGAAAAAATCCTAGGAATTTTTGGGGGGCAGTCTGTGCAGAATATGTTGTGGCCCTACCCTCTCCACCCAGCCACCCCATTGTGAGCCTGATCAAATATGCAATGAATATAGAAGAAAAAATGTGTTCTTAGTGCCCACAGGGCAGTAAGAGCCAAAACAAAAATAAATAAATACATATGTACTGTACAGTATATGATTTTCCCAATTACAATAAAATTTATTTCATATTTAAAAATGTAAATATCTAGCATAATCATGTAACACTTCATTACCAAAATTTTCCATAAACTAAATTTCAATCACTTCATGTTTTATTTATGAATTGTATATTTTTTCTTTTATTGAATTTTATGTCCATTTAAAGACCCAAACGTTCTATCATTAATTATTCATAAAACAATAAACTGCAATACAATTTATTCTAATACCATATTTACTCAAATAATCCATGCACTTTTTCCCAAGTAATCACAACAAAAAGTGGCAATATACAGTTTATTCAAAACAAATTTGGTGACACAACTGGCAAAGCCCTGGGTACTTCCAGTTACTAAGAGTTTTGTTTATTTTGCTATTGAAAATTTTGCTTATCAACTAGACGACTTTACTTAATAAAATGGTCATCTCTAGTCAATAGTTATGAGAAATATTATGAATTTTGTCTGACTAATTCTTCAAAAATGAGTATACATAAAGTTAAGTTAAATAAACAACCCAGACTGACATTACATAATTTTTGTATTTATATTACCACTTAGCTACTGATCAGTTATCAAATATTTATCTTCAATTTAAACTAATATTTTGCTACATTTGTTACATTTACACTGTTATGCAGTCATACAAACTCTTTATCATTTAATAAGAAATATGGCATTTATGTACAATACAGTAATACATAACTTACATAAATTCGCAGTTATGTAAAATGTAAATCTCAAAAACTGTAAAAAAATCTGAGTAGAGTAATGTAATTTTACAAAGAATTATTCTATTTCAAACATTTATTTATTCATTCTCTCTCTCTCTCTCTTTCTTTCTTTCTTCCACATTGTACTGATTTATTATTTAATTGCTCTGCTAATCCTTTTCTTTTTGTCTAATTGAAAGCATGTATACAAACATACTGGGCACTCTTTCTCATAAACAAGATTCTTTCACAGTACAGTACTCATTGAAGGTTGAGCAGTGAAACCAAGCACAACTTCATTGCTTGTTTTTTTTATATGTATTGTTTCACATCATTATGTGACTGGAGGGTCACCACCTCTTTAGCGCCTAGTCAAGACTGACACCATCATGTTCCAATTGACACAGAAGCCAAGATGGCGTATTAATTTCAGTATTAGAACATTGATCATGTGAGCGGCTGTATGTGCAGGCAATCAGATTCGGGATGGAGGAGGGTTGAGAGACAGCATACCAGAAGTGAATCACTCGGATGCCAGGTTAACTAAACAACCATTTATTTAAAAAGGGAAAATACATTGTACACACTTTATGGTGTTAATGAGTTATAATAAATCAAGCTAAAATAGGTCTAGATATTTCCACAGTTCTTGAGAGAGAGAGTTTACAATGGTTCACGAGTTGAGAAATACCTGGAGTAGAGGATGTCCACAAGATGATGATAGATTTCGTTGAGACTTTCTTTGAGACTAAGGAGTCCGTTATCATTCTGGAAGGGTTTCAGAAAGTTCTGGATCAGGAAAGTCTGGGTCAAGATCGTCGGAAAGATTCGTCCCACTGGCGCTATTGGTCGAGGGTGAAATCCAATCAAGTAAAATTTGGCACAGGCACAGAAAAATTTTGGAAGACTTTAATCCAAGAGAAATGGGCGACGACTGACTCTTCGGCCGTCAATTACAATATCAGCATGATATCGCCTGGCTAAGAGGTCAGAAGATCACGGGAATGCATCATTTTCGCTGTCAAGAAAATGTAAGTGGAGATTTTCTCAGGTAGTAGACTCGACAACAATTATCAAATAAGTATGACAACATCAACAATATATTGGATTCTCACAATTACTGTAGTTTGCCTCGAGTGATTTGTTTTATGAATAATCTGTTTACCACCACTACGTTTACATAAAGTTCATTGGCCAATCAAAGAAAGCATAATTTAAGGAGTTACATTAAAGTTCAATTGAAACAACAAACTGAATTTGTTGATAATAAACCAAAAACACAAAGGGCTGAAATTACTTTAGAAAAAAAATTTTTTTTAATTCTTTGTTTTGTTTGTATATGATACTTTGTATTTCTCTTGTTCTTTTATACAAAAAAATAATAAATAATGTATGTACAGTACACATATAATAATAAATACAGTATTGAGTTATTAATTAAGTAGTTACACTTAAGCAATTTGCAAATTCGAGTTACATGAAGGTCTATGGTCTGCATTACATAACTCAGGGTATTACTGTATAACATGGTTATGTCAAATTTTTATTGATATTTTAAGCTACCTTTTACATCATCAGGTAAGTTTAAAAAATAAAAATATATCACAGAAACATTAACTTGTTAATGATACTTCTGGCTTACAACAAAAGTAAACTAAATTTTAATTCCAAATAAAATCAGATAAAGCTTAATGTCTATTTCAAAAACCTTAAAAGATATTTTGAATGAAGTCATAATTTTTTGATAATATAACACAAGTACAATAATATTACAATTACTTTGCACAGTTTGTACAAACTTTTATTGTGCATTCAAGACCTATTGGCTTCTTGCAGCATATCAGTATTTTGTAGATCAATAGGTACCAATTCTCTAATACATTCTTATTCACTTATTTTGTTATCAGTGCTACGATACACTAACTACATTCCTCATCATTTTTACAAATACATTCTAGGTCACTTATATCACTAAAAATGTTTCATATAACTCAAAAAATCATTCCTCACAATCTGAATCTCCATATTGAATTAGAAGTTTCAAGGAGAGGAGCCATTTTAGATATGAAAAAAAATATTGCAACTCCCATACACGATAAGGAGTTGCAGATTTGAGTCACACTCTGGGCCGATCTTTTCTTCCCAAATATTTTAAATTAAATTTATTTATTATTATTATTATTTCTAATTATTAAATTTAGTACAAGATGGCAGCTTAACTGTCTACCTCTAACCAAATTACTTATTTTTTTTATTAATTAATTAGCCTTAAAAGCCAGATAAAAAAACCTGGTAGTTCATTTGATATTTAAATGAATTATAGTGTTTGTTATATATGTTAACAATGTTCTCTTCCATTTCTGTTTGAACTACTTACACCCGAGGAAACCTTTATTAAAAAGTGAAAATGCTTGTTTTTCTTTATGTTGTGTTCGTATTCCTGAAGTTTCAATGCCAATATTTGTTAAATTAAAGCATACAAATCTCATTGGGCTGCAATTTGAAAACATTGTAGACCTATAAATTCCTAATGTCATCACCTGTCTTTCCTCAATCTCTGGAATGGAGTTAGATAAATGAAAGATGAGACCAGATATGAGAACCTTAGGAGCAGGAGGCCCAGATTAACTATATATGAATGTCTGATGCAAACTGAAAGTCATGTTATTTCAATTCAAAAATTTCTTCCCGAAAGGTGTTACATAGATGGCCAGCTTAACTCGTTGTTAAAGGAAAAGTATGATGTACGGGCAAGTCACTACTGATTTGAGGTGGAGAGCATATATTTTAAATTAAATTACAGTAGACCCCCTATAACGTGGGTTCCTATAACGGAAATTCCTATAACGTGGTGAAAAAATTGTGACAGTATTCGTATAAAGACGCTAAAAAAGGACTCATAAAACGTCGTCACCGACTCGTGTCGTGACAGGATTGGTCGAATCCGGACCAATAGTAGAAGAGCAGCCGAACTACTTACACGCTACAAAGTTATGCAAGTAAGTTGAGTTTACTATCATCTGTACAGTATGTAAATTAGGTACCGTAAATCTAATACAGTACTGTAATTTTATACATCTCTTGTGAAAGAAACATTTCTTATTCAACGACCATAAAAATTATTTATATTAATGATGTCTCCAAAGGTCAACAAATTTTTTGCAGAAAAATAACTTATCAGAAATCGCGGCCACCATTTGGTGCGCTGCTCCGCGACGAAAACAAGCTTAAGCAATGGCGATGTCGAACGGTGCACACTCGGTAAGTAATCCTACAATTTTTTGTTTATAGCATAGTTTATACGGATTATTCCCAAAAACTTATACGTATTTTGGAAATGTTAAGTCGAATTAGTCTAGAATCGATTAATTTTATGGAAGAAAACCTTTCAAACAGCCGTAGTCCATAAACTTCACACGTGTTTGTGCTTGTGAAGTTTATGTGACTGGCTCATGTACTTAAGGATTCCTACAATGTGAAATTCTTATAAAGTGGAATGTATCTACCACGTTATAGCGGGGTCTACTGTAATTTAAAATATGATTAAAAATTGCAGCCCAACATTACAACCATATCCAGTGGTTATATTCAAAATATTTAAAGGGTTCGCCAACATAAAATTTTTCCTTAACAATTTTTTTTTGCTCAAATAGTGCATTAGCAACATTAGCTCAAAAGCTGACCTTAAGATACCCATATAAATATTAAAAAAGATGAGTTCGCAAAATTAAGTCAGTTAAAATTTAACATTTTTTATGCCAGAACTATACTTTTTTTTTTTTTNATATATAATAAAAAAGAGTGTTCAAAAATGGTTTCTTTTGTACATATTTTATTACGACACGTGTTCCGCAGCCATCTTGTATTTTCTCGCGCGTGTGGGATTATGGGATCTCTCTTATGCTGGATCTAGTTTCAAGAACTCTCGAGTCGACCGCGATTGAACCTCATTTCAGTTGAGATTGAAACGGTCGAGGAAGGTCGCACCAAGGCGAACAGAGTATAAGGCTCTAGTTTAGTAGTGTTACAGAGGTATAATACGTATATTTTGATAAATAATAAAAAAGAGTGTTCAAAATGGTTTATTTTGTACATATTTTATTACAACACGTTCCGCAGTCATCTTGTATTTTCTCGCGCACGTGGGATTGTGGGATCTCTCTTATGCTGGATCTAGTTTCAAGAACTCTCGAGTCGACCGCGATTGAACCTCATTTCAGTTGAGATTGAAACGGTCGAGGAAGGTTGCACCAAGGCGAACAGAGTATAAGGCTCTAGTTTAGTAGTGTTACAGAGTATAATACATATATTTTAATATATTTTTTAAAAGAAACAAAACCACTGAGAAATGTTACGTGTGTTTAACAAGGTTCAGAAAACTTTGAAAATGTTAACAACAGGTTCGGCCGAACCTGTGCAAACCCGCTGAATATCACCACTGACCATATCACAATAAATAACTGCTCGTTATATATTAACGTCCTAAGCAAAAAAACATTCATTCTCATTTCTTGAGGCATTCAACAATTATTATAAGGCCTTTATTTCTACTTTAATCTTTTACACATTCATTTCTAAGTATAAAATATCAAACATGAAGAATTAATAAACTACATCTAACAGATTTTTCTTTTGCTAGTATTTTATCTTTAATCAAATATAAAGTAAAAGGCAAAATTTAATTTAAAAAGCACAACCAAGAATGCACGAACACCAATTTATTTTGCATTTTTATAATTTGTCATAGATCAAAATATATTGAAAAAGCTGAAATCTTTAAATAGAAACAAAGGATGAAAAATATATATGGCTTGTATAAAATGCAAAAAAACTTTTAATAAGATAATAGACATGAAAATTATCTATTCTGATGTAATGATACAAGATAGTATGAAGAAACCAGTGATAACTGGTTTTTTCATACTATCAAACTGAAACTTTCAACTATTATTGTGCATAAAAAATGTTTTGATATTTTATTGCTAAATATTTGTCTAATCTTTTATAACAAATAAAACTCTGAATAATATTAGATAACAGAAAGTTAAGTATGTTTGTGAATTGATTTAAATACCAAATTTCTTCTCTAAAATTAAAATCAAAGTTTTTAAATCAACTACTATTTCAATACATAAGAATAAGACTGAAAAGTACACTCTCTCATCAATTATTGCCATATTTAACAATGGTGTTTTCAATTAAGAATTACATAAATCCAAACTTCACTATAACCTATACATCTTAGATATATAATATACCTTGTATTAATATAAAAATATAAAGTGGGGTGTATAGTAAAATAAATCATAATTCGTTCAAAAATCTCATTTGTTATAGCATCTGTTCATTCTAGCATACTTTACTCCTAAATTCAATGTGTTTGAGTCCATATCCTAAGTACTAAATCAACAAAGTTACCATCTAACATAACCATTTAGACAGGAAAAATATAGTACAAAATCAAAAATGTGTATGAAAATATAAAATTAATTTATTTAACTTTTCTATACTATACACGTATCTTATCATTACTTATGTTATTCGGGTAATGATTTTAAGTGCTTTTTTTTTTTAATATAGTTTTAAAAACTATTTAAAATAATCCCCCTGTACGCTTTTTAAATATATTATTGTTGTAAAAAACCCCTCCTTTTTTAAAAAAAAGGAAATCAGCCTTTATTATTCAATCACTGGAATTACACTATGTGTTACAAAACATCACATCAAAGTATATGATTTTTAAATAGTAATCTTCTTATTACTAATCTGTAATAATTGTAATACATATATTGTAATGTGCCAATAGGTCAAACTGATGAAGGACATTGCCTGAAGATAGACCAAATGTCTTTCAAAGTATAATTCTTCCATCCTATATATGTATATATATATATATGTAAGCCTCTATGTTAATCAATAAACAGATATTAATTTTGCTAAATGAATAGTGAAGTGCAACTTCTTTTGTGTTGCAGTCTTTCGGACCACCTCCATCCCAAATCCAACCACATACAAATGCAATCGCTTGCATGTGAACAAGAACTACCATTTCTGTGTCTACCCAAAAGACAAAGTTGTGTCATAATCCTGACATGGAATCAATGAAGTGGTGCTGACCATTTGGTCAAGTAGTGCATAAGCATAGGAGTGCTTTGCACATTGTCACAATTTAGTCCAGGTTCTCACAAATAAAATTTGTTCTAATCTGATTAGTTCATATTAGCTAATTCACAAATAGTGGATATAGCTTTTATTTTCAAATATACAAGCAAGTTTCCATCTGTTCCACAATATTACATTATGAACTGCTTAATGTAGAGATTCCATTCACAACCTATGCACTTTTTATTTCTTCCTTCTTTTTAGCCATGAGCCCTGTTTTGCCATCTCATGGCTAAAACTATGTAGCAGAATAATTTTTAAAATATATTTTTATTGCTAAAGCTGCAAATAACAGATATTTGAACCTTATAAACTACAATAAAGACAATGACTAATGCTCTAATAAAGGCAATAAAATCTTGACACGTCACACAAATGCACATGCTGTCAGTTGTGTTTGTCATAACATCTATGTTCATTGTAACATTTTGATTTTACAGTAGAGCGTCGTTTATCCGAAAGTCAGTTATCCGAAAGAATTCCAGTCGGCAAATTTAAATTTTTGCTAGGCGCTGTGGCGCTGCAATCTTTGGCTATATCTTGGGCTACTGCAATATTTTTTTGTTGGGGTGTGTGTTTTAGCTGGCAGCACTGGCACTATTGTGTGGTGTTTTTCTGAGGACTGTGTGTCGTGCTGAATTGAACGTTTTTAATACTAAATCAACTTCTAAAGTATATTTTTTTTGGTTTTTATATTTTTCAATATAGTTATTTTGTTTGTAAAAAATAAATTAATAATTTTTAACGATACAATAGCCACAATTATTATTTTAAAAAGTTTATGTTAGGCTTAACATCAATGAAAATTCAATGCGAAGCGACACGCAACAGAGAANTTTAACGATACAATAGCCACAATTATTATTTTAAAAAGTTTATGTTAGGCTTAACATCAATGAAAATTCAATGCGAAGCGACACGCAACAGAGAAAAATTTCAACACAGGATAGGTTAATATATTTTTTCATACGTAATCGGTTACCCGAAAAATAAGGTATCCGAACAATTGATTTGGATAAACGATGCTCTACTGTATTACAAAAAAATGCTACATTTGGGAGCTAAAACAAATTTTTCATTTAGAAACGTTTTCTTTTTTTCCTCTTAAAAAAACATTCTCAGCTGGAAAATTTTTCAAAATTGCTTTAGGACAAATATCATCATATTCCAAAATTTTTGAACTTTTAATATTATCAGAAAATTATAAATATACAAGTATATATTATATATTATAAATATATAGCACTCACAAAATAAACCGTCACCAGTTCATAACCAAACAGAAAAATTCTTTCTACAAACGTTTTCATCTATATGTAATAGACATCCTCAGATATTGACGATATCAAACTAACGGCTAGTAGAATAGAGGTAGTTAAACAGAACTTTCAAAAACATTCTATTCTACTAGCCATTAGTTCGATATCATCAATACCTGAGGATGTCTATTACATATAGATGAAAACGTTCGTAAAAAGAATTTTTCTGTTTGGTTATGAACTGGTGATGGTTTATTTGGTGAGTGCTATATAATTAAGTACCCAGTTTTTTGAAACATATTATAAATAAATCAAAATAGAAAATAAGCAAAAAGTTTCTTATTTTGATTTGTTTTGTTTTTGATTTATTTTACTAATTTTTGTATATTTATAATTTTCTGGTAATATTAAAAGTTTAAAAATATTGGAATATGATGGTATTCATCTTAAAGCAATTTGAAAAATTTTTCAGTTGAAGATGTTCTTTTAAGAGAACAAAGATATTTCTAAATAAAAAATTTGTTTTGGCTCCCAAATTTAGCATTTTTTCTTAATAATTTGATTATGGTTCAAAGCACAAATGTTCTTTCTGTTGATCACTTTGATTTTGTAGATAAAAATAGTTTGTTGCAGCATACTCCACTTTATTAGATATTTTATACTTGGAAATGAATGAGTAAAAATTTAAATTAAAAATAAAGATGGTTGTATAATGATTTTTGAAACTGACTTATAAGTATAAACTATAAATGTATATTCTAAATATGTTATAAAAGAAAAAATTAAAATATTTACTTTTAGATAATGAATGTAGTTTTTAATTTTTGAACTGGTGTATTTGAATTTTTAATTTTCCATAAAATCAAATTATTTTTTATTTTGTGACTTTTTATTTGATAAATTTATTTAATAATTTATAAATATTTTAGTAAATTGAAATTGTTATTAATAAACTCACCATTTACAGATCTGGAATATTCTAGACATAATACTTCAGAATCGTGAGCTTCTATTTTACACATCATTTCTGCACATTGAATATCATATATTCTTAAAGAAACAAATCACATTATTAACCTTTTGTCAAAATTTTAAAGAAAACGTGATAAAAAAGAAAGAATACTAAATCTGATATTCATAATTTCATTTTATAAGTTTGTAAGACTTTTAATAACTTTTGTCGTTTTGAACACCATATAGTGCAAATACACAAACACTAGGCAATCTTCATTTTAAATTTATTCAATTTTGAATAAATTTTGAATTAAATTGATAAAAATTGAATAAATTTAAAATGAAGATTGCCTAGTGTTCGTGTATTTACACTATATAGTGTTCAAAATGACAAAAGTTATTAAAAGTCTTACAAACTTATAAAATGAAATTATGAATATCAGATTTAGTAAAAATTGCTCTTATATATATATATATGAGCAATTTTTACATCATTTATTATATATATATATGATTAAATTCATTGTAGTATAAAAAGACTCTTAAAAGTATCATATAAATCTTTTATATTTGTAATTTCTAATCCAAACTAGCCATAGCTGTAGCCATATATTTTATTCGCGTTTTCGGTTATCTAAGATTTCATTCCTCTGAGGTGACACTGATCTATGTTGCCTCAAATAACCAGAGTTCAAAACTATACTGTACATATTATTTTTATACAGCAAATATATTTTACAAAGAACATAATAAAACATCAATTTGTGAGCTATTGTATTTATTTACATCAAGATGTGTGAAAATGCAGAGTGCAGAATATGTCTGATTGTGTAAATGAGGTTTGGGATATTTATGGTAGAAAATTAATGTTATGGCAATATTCACAAAAATGCTACAATAAAATGGAATGAAGTCTTGGCTAAGCCTACAGACATTAATTAGGAAAATATGCCAAAACCTAGGAAAATCATTTAAAATCATTTAAAAGTGAAATTGGAATGTTAACATTGTTCAACACATGTAAATATTCCAAAACTTTCTGTCACAAATTATATTTACTAAAACTAACGAAAAAACTTTTTCATTAGTTTTAGTAAGTATAATTTGTGCTAGATATTTCTGATATATTTACATGCAGTGGACTTAATCCAGTTTTATGTAGTACATATTTATAGTTAATTTTGTTTCTAATCAGTTTGATCACTTGTTACATGGCTATGTGCCTGCAGTTAAAATGAGTAGGTTTCTCTTACTGAACCATAATTTTGAATTTCACAAAAAACTGAAACTAAAGATTCATTAAAACTCTTTTCAACATTATCTAATGAGTGAAAATTAATGTCAGCTTGAATTAAAATGAAATATTCACTCATTCACTCACCACATGGAAGATTTTCAAATTAATAAACTGCATTTAAAGCCTTTTTCCAAATTGTCTTGATTAAATAACTAAATATGAGTTTTATCATTATTTTCCTTATCTTTTCATAGTTATATTATAAAATAAAAAATGTTAATGCCAAAATATATTTTAAAATGTAAAAATATAGTCACATTTTCAAAAAAGTAAAATAATAATAGTAATGAAAAAGTCAATCAAAACCTTTTTTGGAAAAGTTGGTGAATTTCTTAAATAATTTTCCAGAAAAGAATTGCACAACCATCATCATCATAAAAAATTTTTCATTTTTGACATCAAAAAGTCTGTTTATTGTCACTCACCTTGTGCTAAAAAGAAGTCATTTGTGGTATCAACAACAACTTCAATTTTTTTTCTACTAATCAACAGATTATATCAAGTTTATAATTGTATGTGCCATCCTATGATGAAAACATCTGCTGAAATTAAAGCATTTTTTTTAATTAAAAATGTTTATTACAACTCTTTCTAACCTGTTACCAGTGCGTTCTCCTTCCTTACTAACTCGTAACTAACTGAAACAAACGTTTTCGAACCCCAGGAACGGTTCTTCTTCAGGTATTTTTTGAATTTCTGATGGAAAATGCAGCTCATAAAAAACTTCAAATTCAAAATACGTATGTTTGAATTCACGTTTCTTGTTTCCGTCGTTGTTTGTCACGCGCAGTTGATTCCAAAACGGCTATCATAAATTATCATTCATAAACACTAGCCACGCTGTTGATAACGTAATCTCTTCTTTATAATTGATGCATTGATTATCCTTAAGGTTAGCTAAGTATATGCTGGCCGCCTCTAGCCATTTGATATGGTGTACGTGCCGCGTGGTGTGGATAATTCTGGCTTAAATTTGGGGTTTATATCCAGATCAGAGGCATAAATTGCCAGAGCCGTCGTGTTCCTTTGTTTCTGAATATCTGCAGCGTGTTCTTTGAGTCTAACCTCTAAGGATCGTTTGGTGGAGCCCACATACAGAAGGTTTCTATCACATCTGCGATCTATAATCGGTATGCTGTAGACCTCTGACAGCTTATCCTTATCTGGTTGATCTTTTCCATTGGTTAGGATGTTAAATATCGAAGGGCACCTTCTGTAGGCGATACGTATGTGGTTCTTTTTAGCTATTTCGCTATATAGCCGTCTAATATATGGATTATAATTGACTGGAATGATCTTATCATTATGCTGTCGTTCCTCCCTTTGCATTAGGTCTTGAGTTGCGTTATGATATCCATGTATTAACTTATGTATGAGCTTGCTGTATCCGTGTTCAGCGGCTATTCGTTGTGTAAGCCTTAGCTCTGATTGTAGGGCCCGCTCGGAAGAAGAGTGCGTGTGTGATCTTTTAATTAGGGCCATAAATGGTGCAACCTTATATTGCGGTGGGTCACATGACCCTATTGGTATGTATATGCCTTTTGTTCCTAACTTCCGGTACACTGCCGTGTGGATTACTGACCCTTCTACCTTGATGTCAATATCTAGGAAGTGTACATTCATCTGGTGCGCTTTTTCTATTTCTATGGTTAATCCATACGTATTATTATTCATTGTATCGACGAAAGCCTTGATGACGGGTATTTCTTTCCATAATATGATAATATCGTCAACATATCTCTTATATAAAACTAGCAGACCCCGCCACATGTTGTTGTGGCTCAAAATGTATCTATTATAAATTTATAACACTTCCCCCGTGGGGAGGAATTTTTCAAAAAATTTCTTCTTAGTGTACATTCTCTCGACATACCCTATTAAAACACAATCAAAAACACAAAAACCCACATCTAAAATAGTATAATAGAAGCAGAGTTCTTTACGGTAAGCCTTAATCCTAACCATCTCCCTTCAGTGGGGGGAATTTCGACACGTATATTATATAAAAACACGTGCGTATTTGAATGAAGCATTGTGTGCAAATTTCAAAGGAATCGGTAGGAACAAACGAACATTACATTTTTATTTATATAGATAGATAGAAGATGATCCGCTTTAGTTCATTTTCACAGAAAAGCGTAATGCCTCACAGAAAAGCAAACTTAGGGCGTCGTACTCATAGCGCCATCTGTTAGACATAAAAGCCTAAACCTAGATTATATCTTTTAATTTATATGAATGTTTAACGGAATAATATACAGCCTATGTCCACCCTGAGGTTCCATTCTAAATATTGGTGAAAGAATTTTTGAAATCGGATGAGTAGTTTCGGAGATTACCTGCTGCAAACAAACTTACATACATACATACAAACATTACCTCTTTATAATATTAGTATAGATTATGTTGTGAAGATGGTGTGGGAGACCTAATGCAAAGGGAGGAACGACAGCATAACAATAAAATCATTCCAGTCAATTATAATCCATATATTAGACGGCTATATAGCGAAATAGCTAAAAAGAACCACATACGTATCGCCTACAGAAGGTGCCCTTCGATATTTAACATCCTAACCAATGGAAAAGATCAACCAGATAAGGATAAGCTGTCAGAGGTCTACAGCATACCGATTATAGATCGCAGATGTGATAGAAACCTTCTGTATGTGGGCTCCACCAAACGATCCTTAGAGGTTAGACTCAAAGAACACGCTGCAGATATTCAGAAACAAAGGAACACGACGGCTCTGGCAATTTATGCCTCTGATCTGGATATAAACCCCGAATTTAAGCCAGAATTATCCACACCATGCGGCACGTACACCATATCAAATGGCTAGAGGCGGCCAGCATATACTTAGCTAACCTTAAGGATAATCAATGCATCAATTATAAAGAAGAGATTACGTTATCAACAGCGTGGCTAGTGTTTATGAATGGTAATTTATGATAGCCGTTTTGGAATCAACTGCGCGTGACAAACAACGACGGAAACAAGAAACGTGAATTCAAACATACGTATTTTGAATTTGAAGTTTTTTATGAGCTGCATTTTCCATCAGAAATTCAAAAAATACCTGAAGAAGAACCGTTCCTGGGGTTCGAAAACGTTTGTTTCGGTTAGTTACGAGTTAGTAAGGAAGGAGAACGCACCGGTAACAGGTTAGAAAGAGTTGTAGTACTATTCTCCGGTGTTGTGATAAAGATGTATAAAAATGTTTATGTTAATTTATCAGTTCAATGTTGTATGGTAAATTATACAGTTGGTCTATTTAATTATCTATATGACTAAATCAGAATTTTCCAAATCACATAGTAGTAATTATTAATTCATTCATAAATTTTTTGATTTTGTATGCTAGTGTGAAATAATTGTTGAGAAAATTTTGTATATGTGTGAGGTCCCGGAAGGAAGTCAATGTAGAGGTCCTAATGGTCCCTATCAATCAAAAAATTAAAATCTCCTTTTACTACTTGAAAGAAATCAAAGATCTCGATTAAACAAAAAAGTTTTTTTGTAAATTATTTAAACAATAGAAATGACTAAAGTCGAGAGAAACATGGCTGGAGAGGAGTCATATTTAGTCACAAAACTGACCTCTCCTGCAGCCTCTGATCGGTTTCAAATTGTCACCAGATGACGAGTCAGGACCAATGAAAAGGTGGCTTTAAGGGAAAAACATTTTGGTTCATAGTCCTCCCATCTTGGACATGCGTGCTCCCATGGAATTAGGAAAAAACTTTTCGGACATCGTGGAAACAACTTGTTCTGCTGTGTCACCTAGTGCCATCCAGAT